AAAAGCAGGTTTTGACTATGTTTGTGAAATTCTCGTAATTCTAAACAATAAAATATTCATATAATACAATTCGTAATAATAAAATATATATCTTTCTTGATCTTTGGTGGAAATTCATATCAATTAATAGTACACAGACAATCTCGTATAGTTTCTGTTTGAGTAGTGAGAGTTTCGTCAGTACAATTAAACAAATATATTTAAAAAATCATTTTGCTCAGGCTGTTTACGACTCCCACTATGGTTTCACCCATCCGTAGAGCAATTAATATACGTATACCTATAAAAATGTATATACACTATGATAAGTTCCAATATGATAAATTTAATAATAATGTTAAAGTAGAAAATGTATTAAAATGATGTAAATGAATTTGTTAATTATTAATTTGGAATATTTTTATTTGGAATGATTTTAATATCTATATTATAACGTAAAAAATTCAAAGTTTTAAATCATCAAGGGATATATTGTATCAATTTATTTTATAATTAGCAGCATATTTGATATTAATGAATTAAATTAATTATGTCAAAAGCACATTAAGAAGATAAGAAAATTTTATATTGATAAAATGGTTAAGATTTCCTCTGTTTTCCTACGCATTTCTTTTTCATTATAAGTGTAATTTTTTTTAATTTTATTTAAGTCAATTTCCGCTTTTAAATAATTTTTTCGTATATTTTAGCATCTTCATTTTACGTTTTATTTAGCGTGACGATGATAGTTATAATCATTTAATACATTTATACACTACGGTATATTAATATTTTACTTAATTTTTGAGATGTATAGAAATATTCGATATAAATATTATAAAAATGTTATTTAGAATAAAATATCAATTGATTTTCAAATATTAATCGAAGTATATAAATGTATTAAAATGGACTTGTTTTTATTGTATGTAATGACAGAACGAAATTAGTTTATTTCATCCAGTTGTTCGACACTACTAAATAGATATAATAAGATTCTATTAGAGTAAATTTTTTCAAGTTAAAAAAGTAAAATATGTTTGAAACAGAAAAAAATCAGGTGGAAGATAACACGGACATAAAAGCGAATCCGTGAAAATAAATCGTCGCAATGCAGAGGCCAAACAGCCAACTGCCAAGTTATAAATTTTCTTAATTTAAATGCAAAAACTACATCTTTATTGCAATTGCCCTTCGCTATCCGATCACCCATGTTCATATTTCAAATGCAGCACGCATAAGTCTGGCAAAACAAAAAAAAAGTTGAAAAGGGAAGAAAAGGGAATTCAAACCGCAAGAAAGTTTTCGTTATTGCTCCAACATTTATAGGGACCAGGGCTGCACTATGTAGCTTCAACGAGAAACTTCTAGTAGAATATGCCTGCGATATTTATTATTTATCCCATGGATACATACGTACCCTTTACTTTTGCTGCAGACAAGCGTCTATATTAGTACGTTTGAATTACAAATGCGTACTATCTACTTATCCTCTTATGCTTGTTGTCTCGCATATATTATTCTTAGTATTTTTATATAAATAGGGTTCCGATTCCAACATAGTAATAGAAAAATTTGGTGATATCCGATGAATAGTATTCAATGTAACATATTTTCTCATTTTAATAGTTGTAATGACAAAGATATACATTGTATATTTGCATATTTAAATAGAAAAATTTGTAATATATTTGAATTAAATATAAAAATATTCCAATACACGTATATTTATGGTTAAATAAATATTAATTATAACAAAGTAATTTAAAATTACAATTAATAATTATTCTTATTGAGGCAATCCTTATTACAGAAGGATAATCCTAATATAGTTCAAATTTTATTTTCTACATAGAAATAAGTAAATAAATGAAAAACGATAAGAACTAATTTTGAACGCATTTTTTCAAAAGTCTACAAAGAAATTATAATACGAATATAGTTAGCATATCATATTTTAAATTTTAAGTGTATTTTAGAAAATTAATATTCATAATTAATATAATTATAAAATTCAAATTTATATAGCTAGCGTATTTTAAGATTAATAAATAAATGTACAATTAATGTTGGCTTTATTTTTAGCAGAAAATTATATAATTGCATTGTGTATTTTGTATTTACGATATACCCAAAGCTATGTTTATAATGTACATTATCTAAAAAAGTTATATTTTACCAATATTACTCCTAATTTCAATAATTAATCAAATCTTTTACATTCTTATATCAATATGAATGAAACTCATCAAATGTTTGTTATAATTTTATTATATTTTATATTTATTCATAAATGATTATATTAATAAGTATACTACATTGGCAATTACATAATAAATTATTTTTATTAAATAAAATTATCGATAAGATCTCAATAAATATATATATATATCTTAATTAATTTTTATTTTCACACTTTTTGCCCGTTTATTGTTTCTAGAATTCATACAAAAAATAATGAGATTTTTCAGACCAACACCAAAAATGTTTATTCGCTGCTTCGAATAGATGATACGCGTCTGTGTTATGATCATAGATTATTTCAATTCCAGTCCATTAATTTCCATATAGATTTCATTATGAAAATTTATAATAAAAAATAAATAATTAGATAATTAATATTACTATCTTAATTTTTTATGTAATTTGAAAACTAATATTGAAGTAATGATAAATAACTCATAAATATATTAGTTAATGCATAATATGAAAAACATTTTTAATTTAATGCATGTTTTTAGTATACAAATATAATATTAGTAACCAACCATTAAATAAATTATTGTAAGCACATCATTTTTTATTTAAAAGAATTTGAAAAAATATTGCATCATAATAAGTTAAAAGTAAAACGTTCATAATATTCTATTCGAGAACATAACAAATAATTTAACTTAGTTTTCAGCAAGAAATAATTTTTCTCTTAAATTACACGAAGATGCAATACGTATGATATTAAAGCTTAAGTAATATATACAACTTGAACCAGTAAATATTTTTTAATTAATTTTAAATATTTTATGCTTCTGCATGTGGATGAACGTGTATGCTACATTAAGAAAATCAATCTCTGAGATGATACGTACATTAATTTGTGTTAAATACATATAATTTTATACATAATTTCAATAATAATTACTGAAGAATAATAAAATTAAATTTAACCAATTTAATTACCTTCATTTTATTTACTATTTTTGTGTAAATTATTTGCCCATGTATAATAATGTATAAATTTCTTGCAATAATAAATATTGTTTTTCATCATAATGGATTTAATATTTTGTGTATTATATATAATTCCTTTCATAATTAGTTTCAAGTAAAAAGTATACAAACTCATATTTGTATATATACATGTATATAATAGTACTCCTGTCTTACAAGTTCCAAGATGCTTTAAAAAAAAATTTATGTCTATTGTAGTTTATTAGCACGATATATTCATTGCAAAAAATAGAAGGCTACAAACTAATATAATATTGATAATACTCTTACTGAAAATAGCAATTTCAATTTTAATATAAATATGTCTACAACTTATTTATGATTAAAATTAATGGAATAAAAGAATCAAAGTAAAATATTATTTTAATTGATAATGGACGATTCATTTTAATCGTTTTAGAAGCATTGATTAGTAGATTTTCATTCCTTTGCAACTAATAAGAAATATATATATATATATATATATATTATGAATTATTAATGAATTCTTAAAAATTTAAGTTTAAATTTAATTTTTATTATAAATTTTTTTTTATTCTTTTGGAAAACGTAAAAACATAATTCATTTATTTTATTGCTGTAGAAAGCTTAGTAATTATATATAATTATTTTTAAAATTATATGATATTATTAATATTTGTTATTCTACTATGGTACATATTCATTTTTTAAATTGGAAATGCTAATGCAGATATATGTTTAATTATAATATATATTATATATATAAATTTGAATGAAAAACAATTTGATTCAGCATTATTATTAGTTTTATTAATTTTGATATAAATATAATTATGTAGCTTATAGTTGAAGTCTATATTATTTTTCAATGATTTCTAAAAAATAATTTATTTATTTATTATAAATAATTAATAATAATTAATTTTATACATATAGTTATAATATCATATTTATATATTTGTCAAACTAGGAATGTTTGTATACGATACGAATATTTGTATTTTACTTAATGATTTATTTTTAAAGATTTTATAATTGTTAAAAAATTATATACTTACTTTTATGAAACCTTTTTTCCTTTACAAAAATGTATGTATATTGTTCAAGAATATTTTTAGATAGAAACAAAACTAATAATGCATGAGTACAATAATCTATCTTTGTCGAATAGTTATATAATGTAGAAATATAAAATAATCACTACGTAATATTTTAATAAAATTATTTATATAAGTGTAATAGACGAAAAATTTGATTATTCAATCAAGCATCATCACATCTTTGTTTTTCGTTATTATTATACAGTAACTAATACTTTAACAAATATAGTAATTTTCCGAACAGACTTGAGACATGAAAAATACGTTTCCTTGGTTACAGTAAAGGGAAAACGGCTTTATTAAGTCATGCAATGCAAAGAAATTATGTTTCTTTTATTTGCATACTTCATGAGAACTTGAATATTTTAGTATACATTACTATGTTTCTTATATTATTTGAACGACAAAAGATATAAGAATCATTTTTCTATTGTATTAACTACTAATAATTTACTATTCTTATTACCATTCAAAATATATATGTAAAATAATAATAATAATATGAAGTAGCAGTTAGACATTTGTATATCCTTGCCAAGTGGAACTCAAATAAATAAGTTATATATGCATACAAAGAAGTTATAATTATAATTGCTTGATTATTTTATGAAGGATATGATATTTGATTCTATAGGAATATTAAGCAGTTCCTTATTCATGCTTATTTTAATAGTACTTAGTGTTTATAATGCTGCAAAAAAGAAGCTTGTGGAGGTGTAGGATTTATTTATCATGGGTGTGCGATCAGAGGGTGACAATGCATTTGGGGTTTATCGCGTGTTTTTCTGGTTCATCGGCGTTTGGCCACTGGAGAAAAAAAATTATTTCAAAATTTTTCGCTTTTCCATGGCTATTATATTTCAGGTCAAATAATATACATTTATTCATCAAGATATTTATAATAAATATATGTTTATGACATTGTGACATCTTATTGTCACAATTTTATAAATTATATAGTAGATTCATTTTTTATTAGACTAACTAATGTAATGCATAAATGTCAAAATTTGTATGAAATTACTTTTTTAAATAAAACAAAAATATCTAAAATTTTAAATAATTATTTACACTACTATAGGCAAGCTTTTTAATGCATTCGTTGGCAGAACTTTATTTGAATAATGGGAAAATATCGGATATTGTCGATATATTACTGTTCTTTGCATCAGCCCTTCTCTCTACAATAAAACACATTTTTCTAAATATACACGGAGACAAAATTGCAGAAAATTTAAAATGCTATACAAAAGATTGGACCGACGTCAAAGATGAAACTTCATTAAAAGTCATGAGAGCACATGTGAAGGTATTTTTTATATTGCCTAACTCAATAACAAATATTTTTATTCCGACAGAGTTGAGAAAACATTCGAACATCTTATATTACAAAAAATTTCTCGAATCTTTATAATTCATAAATTACAATACCGTTAAAATGTGTTATTTAATACAATTAAGAAAATTAAAATTGTTGTTTGTAATGAATAAATTTAGCTTCTTTTATTTTCTTGTATTAATATTTTTAATTAACTGTCATTATCAATAAAAAGTAAAATAGATTATAATAATAATTAAAAATTATAGTAAAAAAAATAATAAAATATTAATGATAATATTAATTATTAGATATTCCGGAATTGTATTTTTTTTTAAATCAAATTTTGAGTATAATATCGATTATTTAGAATTCGGAGTTGTAATAAATATCGATTATTTAGAATTCGGAGTTGTAATAAATTATTATGAAATATATATATATATATATATATATATATATATATATTATTGTCTATTAATTAATCAACTATCACTTTAAGTGAAAAAAAACAATTATCAGATTTATCTTTAAGATTTACAAGTATCAACACATCATTTACAATTCCGTTGGCTACATTGGGACAACTTTATTTTTGACTAGAACAATTCTGCTAAACTTTATCAATCAGCGTCAATTAGGATCGAATGAAGAAATCGAGTATCAGTTAATTTCCCATACGTCGTATATATCGCAAGAATTTTTGACTAAGTATTATATAATTCTGATAATAATTCAGTATGCACAGTGCATATATGTTTGCACATGTGGTGCATGCACCGATTGCTTTTTCTTTGGTTTGGTATTTCATCTGTGTGCTCAGTTTGAAATTTTAAAATTGGAATGGGAGAAGCTAGGAGTTGATGATTCCAATGATAGAAATACGGTTGAAAGCAATGATCTTAAAATTAAAGTAAATATATTGGTAATTAAACATCAAAAACTTATCAAACTTGGTAAGAATTTGGAAGAGAGTTTCAATGGAGTTGTTTTGATACAACTCTTAATTAGTATTATTCTTATTTGCATGAGTGGTAAGTTTTTATGTATCCCTAATCATACTAATATTTACGAGGAATTATTATAAATTATTGACGGTATTATATTGAAAATTTTTTATAAATGTTATTAATATTATATTAACTAAATTAATCAAATTTTAAGAAAAATAATTATGTTTGTATAAATAATTAAATATTAAAAAGTGTTGATATAAATATTATAATAATTTATATCTATAATGGTACGGTTGAAATATTTTACTTACGTATAGTCTACATAATATTAATTGGCAATGTGTCTTTTCTCAAAATTAATAAAGAACCTAAAAATTAAGTTATAAAATTTCTACCTGCATAATGACGAAAAATTCTAATAATCATTTTGTTATTCGTATTTGAAACCCGCACCCATGCACGAAATTTATAATTCCATAATAAATAAGCGGAAAAAAAATTACTCATTCGATATTTTATTTTTAACCTCTTGTTTTTGTAAATTGCTATATATTTTGTCTATTGTGATAAATTTGGATAAAATAACCTTATAAATACATACAAAATTTAATTCTTTTAACAGGTTGTAGTATACTAGTCGCGATGATGGTTAGAGATTATATGACAATATTATTGAGCACGAATTGCATAAGCTTCATGATAAGCGAATCATTCATTTACGCATATGCAAGCGATTATTTATTGAGTCAAAGTGAAAGTATTGTTCAAGCAGCTTATTCGAGTGGTTGGTATAACCTCGAGAATCGCCTAAAGAGAAACTTCATCTTTATTATAATGAAGGCACAAAATCCTCTCTACATTACAGCGGGAAAATTTTTTTATATAACGCGCAATACTGCCATACAGCTTCTTAAAAGTACATTTTCATACATTTCAGTTTTGCGATTAACATTTGAAGTGTCCCATACAAATATCTAACTTCTAAATAGTTTATGGCATAGCAAAGTTCTATTTTATATATTTTTTAAAATAATGTAAATATAATGTCAAGGAATAATGTATAATGTCCAATAAATTCATAAGAATATAGCGAATAATATTATATAAATATATTAACTCTAGGATTAATAGTAAAAATAAATCAATTTATCTTCTGCAATCGTTATTGAGTTTCTTCAGTTAAAAACATAATTTTAATTCAATTTTAATATTTCAGATTTTAATATTTTAAGGATGTCAACATTTGTAACATTTGGTCATAAAGAAACATGGATATTATAGTATTGATCTGTTTATATAAAGAATTATTCAAATTGTTCAAATCACTTACATCAGACTTTTATGCTGGTATATTTGATTTCCTCAAGCCTATTCATACAAAGCTATTTATATATTTGAATTTATAGCCTTACTTTCTTCCTGACGTTAGTGTCTAAAAATAAAGACTCGTTCAATTTATTTATTTATTTATTTATTTTTTTTTATGTAAAACCCTACTTTTTCTGGATTTTATAAATAAAAAATCGCTCGATATGTTAACTTGCAATGAATACGAATTATAAAAATTCTTTATTTTAGACTTAAGGAGTTGACTATAGATTACTACTGCTAAATTTACTCACCATGTTCTGTTAAAATTTATTAATTTCATTATTTCTTAAAATTTTTCAATCAATTATTAATTAAGACATTTGAATAATTCGATTAAAATTAATATGTTTGTTAGATTTAAATGGTTAGTAACAATATTCCGCTTCTTGTATAGTTAGATATTAAAAATATTATAATAAGCCTGTAAACAGCAATGTAGTGCTCATTAAATCTGTTCTGCGAGATTATAAATCTTATAAAGACAATATTTCAGATTTCAGATTTATATAGTTTTAATTTCAAAAAAATTTAGTTTCGAAGCTATGCTGTTTTCTGTAAAAAAATCATAACTAACTACTTTTAATTAACACAAAATGTGTGATTTACAGCGTTAAAAATAATGCTAATAAGCAACTATATGTAAAAAGTGGAGTTTCATTGTTCTTCCATTGTCATAAAATAATTTTATTTTTACTCAAATTTGTCAATATATACATATGTCATTTTCTTTTTCTGCTTGATGTTCGCTTAATACAAAATATATCTCATTCAAAATTATGAAAATTATATATATCTTACAAAGTATTACAGTTTTCTTAATACTTTAATTGTTAACATTTATAATTGTAGTGTATTATTGTTTTCAAATTTAATTAATAACTTTATTTATATACATAAATTTAGTAATTTAAAGAAATTTATACTTAAAGAAACTAAATATTAATAAATTATGCTTAAATTACAAAAATCATCCAAAAATATGATTATAGCAAAAATAATATACTTGAAATTTAAACTCTCTATTCAAAAAATTTTTAAATTAATTCTTTTATTATGAATTATTTATTATATATAATATGAATTAGCCCTAAAAAATGTTGTAAACTGATTTATAATATTTTTGATGAAATTATAAATAATTGGCCTGACAAAACATATAACTATGTGGGCTTACCATTTTTTTTGTTTATTCTAGTTATATCATTTTTTGTAAAAGTCAATTTCATATTTTACTTATTTCCAAAATTATCAGAGTAGATATACCACGTACTTAATTGTATAGCAATTGTCGTGTAAAATTGAATATTATTAATATTATTTGATTTTAATAATTAAGTATAATTACCTTTGCATTACTTTATAAGAAAAATACTTAATTAATAAATTATTTTTTATTTTCTTAATAATTAGTTAATTATTGATCTTTAATAAAATTTTGTACATAAAAATAATGTTATTTTCATTTATTTATTTTTTTATTAATAATAGTTTTTGTGTATCAATACTTAATATTATAAATATATTAACATAACATGATAATTATTACTCATAATTTTGTTTCTAATAGTTTCCACAATGTAATTTTCAATGATTATAAAATCACGAAAATAAATGCAATATTATTCATGTCTAAACTACGTATCTCTCATTTATATATCGTATGATTTATATTCATATTATATTATTATTGAAATGATTTGCAGTTAATCCATATTTTCTTAGTAATGTATTTTTTTTTTCTTTATGATAATAAGAGTACTAATCAGTATAATATATATATTATAGCAAGTTCAACGTTTAAATAAGTCACTTTTTAAGAAATATCTGCCATTGTAGAGGCTATCCACAATAAAATTTGATCGGATTTTCAATTTCGAATTGCACGCAGTCTTCGTCATTCAGGATTACCGATGATGCAACAATGTATGTCTTTCCGTTTTACGTGCATCCTGGCTTATGGTGGATTTTATGATATAAGAATTTTGAGTCCATTTTGAGCCAGACGGCATGTAGAATAAGTTCAACTATTTCAGCTGTAATTGCTGTAAGGATACTGTGAGGTATAATCGGATTCATATATTAGTTCAGTTTTATTATCATTAAGTTTCATAAATCACTGATAAAAAGGATTCAAATTAATTTGAATAGAGTTTCCATACTATTTTAAATTTAGTATAAATATATTGCAACGTATAATGTATATTGTTTGTTTGTGTGTGCATGTACGCGCGCGAGCGTGAAATTGTGTGTATGTGTGTGTGTGTATTTGTTTGTTTGTAATGAGGAACTGAAATGTTTTACAATTAAGCGTTAAGAGAAAAATTAGAAAAGAGTTTGAATGGAATGACGAGGAACTTGCTTGATTTATCATAATTGTAAGTAGATGAGAAAGGTTGGCTTATTTAAATACATAGATTATATATTTGAAAATTGCGAGTATAATTTTATGTATACATATTATTGTTTTGATACATGTTATGCGGTCATAAGTATGTAATATATAAAAAATAATCTTATTTAATCAAATATTTATTTATAGGCAATCGTTAAAGTAAAATCTGAACATTCAGAAAGAATGTCATTGTGAACTCTCAAAGATGAAATATATTGTAATTTTTGTAGAAAAATTATGAAAATAAGTTCATTAATCTATTAAATCATTGGAACAGCAAATAGATGACATGCGTGTGCTAAAAATACAATTATATTCAATTTTACATGCAGCCTGGCTCGAGGTTGACTTATACCATTGATTCATACAGTCTCCTTCTAGCTGGGCTACATGTAAACAAGATATACATCGTAGCCTCACTCAGAAGTTTCCAAAAATAAAATTTCATTGCTGACATCAATTAGCATTTTCAATTATAAAAGACATTATATTCAATACTATGGGGAAAATAATTAGGCTCTTACAGTGTTTCTGTATATATATATATATATATATATATATATATATATATATATATATATTCTTTTAAACAAATACTAATATTACTATTATGTAATCTAATATTCTAAATATTGATTTTCTTAATAAAGCTTAGATGTTTAATTAATTAAAAAATTTGTGTATAGAAATTTTATTAAAAAAATTGTTGGAAACAAAATTCATTAAATGATTCATTTAATGACATTACATCTTTTATTCGTGTAACATATTTCACATAAGAAATAAAAAAGAGTTTAAAAGCAAATTTTTATAGAGTGATACGTTATAATCATTTCATCGCATATAAAACGACTTTATTGTAAAATATCTTGTTATACTCTACAAATTTATTATACAAAAGTAATCACATTTAAGAAATATTATTAGGCTATTTAAATCATAAGGGATTAAAAAACATTAAATGTTAATTTTATTTGACTGTTTATATTAAACATATATTATTTTTGAGATAAAATGTATAGTTTTTTTTTTGTTTTTGTTTTTTTTGGCTAATTGATATCAAAATTATATCATTACAGTAAACAATAGTTTTAACGATAATAAATCCGAATAAGATATCTATAGAAAAAAATATCCTACTCATATAAATCTTTAACGTGCCACGTGAATTTTGCATTAATATGTAAACATGTTAAATTAAACAAGATTCATTTAGGTTTTTTTTTTAAAGAGAATAAAAATATGACCAAACTGCAAAAACTTGCATCATTTGCGATTTGAAAATGTACAATTGAAAAATTGCAGTACATATTTTTGATTATATAAATTATATCATATATTTATCAGTTAGATTTTTTTTAATATCTCTCAAATTATAAAATTGAAACATAAATGTTACAATCTTAACAAAAAATTTGAAGCACATGAAGTTTCGTAATCAAGGGAAAATCACACGGTGAAGAACAGAAGATTAATCGATAATCTTTATGTACATGATTATCACTAGATAGAATTATTTAATATTATATAATTCAACGATAACATTGATAATACAACTAGAAATCATTCGACATTTATGACATATAACATGCATACATAATGCATAACCCTCTTTCAGAAGTTTCTTAATAAGAAAATAAGTTTTCTATTTAAAGCATACAAACTTTTTATCGTTTATTCGTAATTTATAATGATCGTTAAAATTTAAAAAAAAAAAAATTAATAAAAATAAATTATATTGTATAAAAATGTTAGCGAATGTTCTGACAAAGGTAAGTTTTGTATAAACTTATAAATTCTATATAAGCTGCTTAACCTCACTTTCCATGTTGTAAATTAATTTAGTTTATCATTTTATAATAAAAGTCAATATTATATTCATTTCAGTCATTAGGACTTACTCGACAAAATGTATTGCATAAAACTTTACAAAAATTTTACGGTATTTACGAGCCAGATTATTTACAGGTTATTATATATTGTATTACAAATTGTATTCTGTTGTATTATTTATTATTTTAATATTGACAATATTTTTTAGATTAAAAAGTCCAAATTTCCTATCTATCCTCCCTTACTTATCCAAATAAGAGGGTACGATTACCCAATTATAGAAAGTTATCAAAGTTGGGTTGCTAAGATAATAAGAATAATGAATTTTCAAATATTGGACAGGTAAAATTATTTAAATGTAATTTGTCATAATTCTAATTGTTATGCCAATATTATATTAATTTCATTCTTATAGTTTTGCTATGCCTTCACAAGACACTAACGTCAAAAGATATAAGCCCAAATCAACAGAGGTGCACATTGAATATATCTTGAAAATGTATGAAAGAATTTTTAAAGTATCGAACGTTACTTCTATTGGACTGCCAGTTCTCATAAGAATTTTAGAAGCTGGACTACCCGAAGGGGTACTATTGGACATTAAAGAGTATAAGGCTGAAGATGTGAAGCATAGATATATACCCGATAAGCAGCTGTTAGAGTTAAAAAAAGAGTATGAAAAAAGTAAATAAATTAACATCTTACTGTATAAAGAAGAAAATTAAAAATTTTATATAATATATATATCTTTATTCTTATTTTGTAAGTGTATAAAAGTATATTTACAATATAGATTTTCATAAAAAATATTCATTAAAATTATTATAATAATATTCTATTAATTGTTTAACAAAAACTCTGTTTAACAGAGTTAGCAGAATTAAAATTTATTTATATTATATAAATTGAATACTATAAAAGCCCAAAGTGCACAACTTTGATTTTAGCAGTTTCTTCAGCCTTTGAAGATTCTTTTGCTTTCTCACATTCTTCTGAAAAAAAATTTGTCTGTAGCGTTGAATTTATAAATAACAATATTAACACTTACTTGATAAGGGTTGAAAATTTTTAAGATAATCATCGTTTCCTAAGCAAAGCGGTAAACTTTCGGCCAATTCTCGTTTAGAATCCATAGGGTGAATTTGTGTTCCTGTACGTTTCGGAAGTGGCCTATACGTTGGTCCCTGGAATTAATATTTTATAAATATTAAATATTTGGAGGGCAGTTATATTTTTTAAAAAGTAAAATAAAAGTAAGTTATTTACGGAATTAGGCACTAAAATATGTGTAACGGTATCTGAAAATTTTACTTTTGGCTTCTCTGCAATCGTTGATATATCTGCTGATGTAATCGAAGGAGTAAACGATTTATCGTTGGAACTATTTATAATGGGTAATGGTGGTACGTTTGACGATAATCTGTGGTCTTTATTTATATTAATATTTGTACTAGTCTGAGAGAACGGTAATTTAAAATGATGCTTACTATCATACGATTTAGATGGTATACTATAGCTATTTGTTTTTATATGACTGGTATTGGAATGTAATATATTTAGATTATCACAACTGTTATGAAATGGAATATAATCAAGATCGTAATCTAATCTATACTTATGGGTCGATTGGAAATTATTATTCCTATGATGATTTTGTAAAATATTAGAGACAGAATTTTGCTGTTGTAGCAAATTGGGTATCGCATGCAATGGCTTAATATTTTGTAGTTTCAATAATTGACTGTCCACATCTGTCAAACCAGCGGCACTTCTTGATAAAACGTAATTTTTCTTTGGCAAATTATGAATGTAATTAGCTAAAGAATTCGTTATGGATGGAGGAGGTGGTGGAATATTTATCAGAGAATGCTTTTGTTTTGATGCTGAACTACTATTCGCACTGCTATCGCATGAATTTGAATTGGCATCGTCATTGGGATCTTCTGGATTATTGAACGATGTTGACATGAGATTACTTCCAGAATTAAATAATGATAAAGGAGGGTCGATGCATGTCGATGGTACTGGATTTACAGTAACCAATGCATTGTCGGATTGAATAGGGGTTAGAGGATTGGATAGCAATGTGGACGGATTGGTTTTAACACTGTTTACTACTGTTAGTCCGTTTGGTTTCTTATCATTATTGTCAAATTCGGCAGCTAGATACGTGTCATTGTGCAAAGTAGAGTCTGCATTTGACAAATGATTACTAAACGATGTTGTCATTACATTACTATTTGTATTGTCTGTGGAAAATAGTGTTAAGCTTGATGTGGCTTCAATGGATTTAGGTTCAAATGCATTGGTTAGAGAATTTGACATAAAATTACCCATTTGATATGAATTTGTAATATTTTCTAACGACATGCTGTTGAGTGATGACTGTGCGATGCTCGGCGTTAATTGATTCATAAGTGAGAGATTTTGAAATGGAGATATTAAATTATCGTAGCTTCGTATCGATTGACTGTAACTTGAATTGAAGGGAACCGAAGTTAAAAGCGAGTTTGTAATAAAATTAGGCACAGAGCAATTATAGGAGGCCGAATTCGGTACATTAAATGACGTGGACATTGTATTATTTTCAGTCTTATCGATAGCTTCATTAGAAGGTGTAGATATAAATTCGCTATTGTGAATAGGAGGATAAAGAATAGGAAGCGGTGGTGCTTGACTGTGTAGATTTTTAGAATATTTGTGTTTAGACGAACGTTTGATATGGACTTTTTCATTCTTTGGAGATTCTTCACTTTCAGTATCTTCGGTATACGATTCATCTTTGTCACTGCCAGAGTCTGAGCAAAGGGAGCACGAAGGCCGCGAGCACGTTGAATCTAAATTAATCACGAACATTAACAATTAAGTACAAAAAGTAAAGTGTAATATTAATTAACAAAAACTTACGCGAGCTACTGCAACTGGTGCATATACTTATTATTTCATCAGCTTTTTCTTTAGCTGCGATTGCCATTTCAGTGTCTTTTAATACAATCGCGTAAAAATGTATATCCATAAAAAGGTCATGGTCGTTTAAATCGATAGCCAAACGGAACGCTTTTTCAAACAGCCTGTGCCTAAATAGATATAAAAAAAAATAGTATAATGCTGGGCATATGCATGGTAAAATATCAAACAAAATTCTCACTTGAATATCTCACCTTAAGAGATGATGAAAAAATCTTCGTGTTAAATCTCTTACTTCATCCCCATATTCATTAATGACCGACTGACTCATTGGTTTAACCGGGACGTGAAAACTTCCTAAGGCACTTTGAATGAGATCTGCGGTACAGATGCAATTCATGAAAAACAAATGTCAATATATTTAATGAATAAGAATATATTATTTATAAGAATATATACTTTCTCGTTCTGGTGTTAGAGGTAGCTTGAAAAGATAATTTATAATTTGATTTAACGAGTGCATGCAAACATGTGGATTCAAATCCCAATTCATTGTCAGAAGTAACGAAGTTGCTTGCTGAACTTGTGATACAGCTAAATATCTTTGTATTAAGACATCGCCAGAAAAATTCTTTCCTTCAATTATTTTAATGATTGCAACAGGACCTCTAAAAAATCAATCGAATCATTAGTAGGAGTTAAAATCGATAAATATTTTATGCGATAAATAAAATAATTATAAGTAACTTTACTTTTCAAATAACAAGAAGAATAGTGAATCTCCATGATTATAATAGTCAACAAAAGCATTAGGTTCACTTTTTTTGTTCCATTCTAATCTTATAAGAGCAGGTTGCACCCTATTAGATATAATTTATAAATTTACACACACGTAGAGACACGCGCATCTACATATATATATATATATATATATATATATGCATGTGTGTGTGTGTGTGTGTACGTGCGCGCATGCGTTTTATTTAAACAAAAACATGCGAAATAAAATGTTAAAATAAAATAAATATTCTACATGCTTTAAATCAATTATACACACACATACATACATACATATATATATATATATATATATATATATATATATATTAAATTAAATAATTACTTAAAATACGAAGATAAATCGATAATATTAGAAGGTGCAATGTCTTCACTTAACATTTGACTTTTAACACAAGTTAAGGCAATATCGAAATGCTGCACTTGCCCTCGCTCGTTACCAACAGCAAAGACATTTCCATCGCTGTGCCAGCAAGCCAAAGTAGGTATCTGCATAAAATTTATGAAGTAATTAAGCATTGTTATTAGTTATAATTACTTACAAAATTAAGAAACTTTTCAAATTTTATTTACAAATGCTGTTTTTGCAGTGTTGTTAGTGCCTTTAATTTGATCATGAATTATTATAGAACCATCGATACAACATAACAATAACATTTCTTGATTCGGTGAAAATCTTACACAACTCGTATGAGTTGGCAATGGCACAGAAACTACAGCTATCCTTTGCAACTTATCATTTTGTGAAACTTCGTATGTTCGCCATTCAACCGTGACTTCTCCCTAAAACGAAATTTTCTGAAAAGTTAAGTAAGCGTTTATTGTACAACTAAGTAATAAAAATAAGTACCTTTCGAGAAACTTTCTGTTCTAAAGAATGAATGATATTATCATAATTTGTGTTAAATAATATACATAAAGGATCAAATTCTGTCCAGAGGTAGCACAACAACTCCAATTTTGTACTAGAATTAAAATAAATAATACCTTAATTTATAATATAAGTTTGATTCTTCATATGTTTAATGGTATCCATGGAAATAGATAAGTTTCCTTTTAATCAATATATCTGTAAGGTCTATAATATCAAAATTAAAAGACTCGTTAGTCTACAAGTTACAATTTGAAATTAATTAAATTCAGTTTAAAAGTAAAATGTCACAATTTTGGCATGCACACTGGGCCGAAGATAGTTTCAAATCAACAAGATTGCAAAACTGGGAGGTACCAAGACAGCATGCTGAATGGCCTAGGAAACATTGTACAACAACAAAATTTATAGCTTACTTAAATGGACATCTTTACATTCCTTTCAAAACACGTAACGTCATATGGAGTAATTTCAAGGTACCACGTACCAATTTAAAAACTAATTTTTCTTTTAAATAAAATTTGTAGTCTGGTTAAAAATTTATTAGGGAACATGGGAGCTACCATTAAAAATAGATCGTCGTACCGCTGAAATATTATCTAAATCTACCGAAGACAATAATATCTCATGGAATATTCATAACAAACAATATGAACGTACGTATGCAGAAATTATGCATAGATTACGTTTTTAGTAAAAAAATATAATAATCAAATACTTTGTCTTTATTCATCTTGCAATTTTTCTTTCTTTTTCATTTCTTCAAATATAGATTTAATTCAAAACAGTAATAAATGCAAAAATAAAGAAAACAAGGTTAAAGCAGAAAAACATAAAGAATAAATCGTGGTAACTTTGAAAGGAAGACGATACTAAAGTAAGAGATAAATAGTACTGGCAGATAAATAATAAACAATGCAAACAATAATACGTATGAAATAATTCATTTATCGATTATAGAGAAAAGTTTTTATATACCCTGTAAGCCTATAAAGATGAACATTTGCACGATCATGCTCTTTCACAGTCGGACTCCATGGATAAACTTCGTTCATGGTAGACTTCCACCATATTAAAATCTGAAATAAATAACATTAATTAAAATCAAATATTAATTTTTATGTTTACATTTCATATTTCTCTTACCAAGTCTTCTGTTTTATTATGATGTATTTTCTTTTCTAATCGACGGCCGCTAGGCCCACAAAGATCAAATGTCGATACTTTGGGATCCAAACTGCTTATTTTATCAAAAATATTTTTCTTTGATTTAAAAAAATTTACCAATGTAACTTGACTGTCGTTGTATGTACAAATTAAGTAGTTTTTTGTTATAATAACTATGAAAATAAATATTTGCTTTAAAAAATATTATTATTATCGTTGTAACAAATAAGATTATTATTAAGCCATACCGTCCGATAAACGCTCGGATAGTTTTCCAACTAAATATTTATCAAATATTATTTTTTGAATATCTCCCGAACGAAGATCAACTTGTGCGTATATCAATAAACCGGAACTAAGCATAATTTGCATGGTACAGTAATCGAACCATTGACAATATATGGTTGAATGTTCTTTTAATTGTTCCTATATCAAGGACAGTAATCAGTAATATGAAGAATATTTTTATTTATGTAACTCCCGTACCTCTAAATACTTAATAGAATCTTTCATCTTGTTTCCTTTCTTATTCTGTGGAACGCAGACCATCCCTCGCTTTTGGGCATATGATCTTTTACCCTCTTCATAAATATTGTCAATTTTTTTATCATGATAGCTACAAAAGTTGATATAAATAAAAACTTTGGGAGTAAAAATTTTGTTAAATTATAAGCACACCACACGGACAGGCGCGCGCGCGCCCACACACACACACACACCCGTGTGCATTTGTATAAATTTCGATATAAATTTTAAAACATGTTTATATGCTTAGTTTCCAAAGATATTTATAAGTAAATAAGTAAAGAAATTAAGTTTATGTTGTTTATAGATAACAGTAATTTTTACTTTGTAAATATGTACCGTATTGTTATGAAATTTTAATTATAATCAATAGACGCTCGTAAAATAAAAGCAATTTTACCTGTAAGTACCAAAATCTATTTCTTTAATATTAACGTCATTATCAAAAGTCCAAAAATTTAATTCGCCTAATAAGACGAACATTCTATAAACTATGTACCGATTAATGGATATGTCAAACAATTGTATACAAACAATCGGAACAAAAAGTTCTGTTTAAGGTTAGGTAGAGATGTATCGATAGATCGTAAATCGATTTCTTTTCAACGACGATTAATCGCCAGTGATCGTCAGAGATATTTACATGATATTCATTTTGAGTCTTTCAGAAGTTATTTAATTATTTACTAAGCTTTTACAGTTTTACTGTATTTTTTATAATTTCGATTCTACATTCATTCAATTGTAGTAAGCTGTTACATTTCCATTAACTTCAGTGATTTCCTATTGTTTTGTACCTATTGTCCTATTGTATTGATCCTAGTGTTTTGTAATAATTCTCATTATTTTTTAACCTTTATCATAAATCATGTTTGTGAAATGTATTAACAAAAATTGAGGTAGTAAGATATAAAATATGTGATAAAAACTTTAAATAGTTCCAATTCGTGTGTAATCTACGAATATTATTATAATTTTTTAGAAGGCGTTTTAGTGTGTTAAGTTAATAATGAATTTTTAACAGAATCGGTAAACTATATAAATAAGAAAACGATTTTTCCATTCTAATAGTCTGTGATCATACACTCTCATCAAATATTTTTCAATATGTTAAGAACACATAGAAAACCAGAATGCCATATAACTGTAGATTTAGAAGAGCCATTAACCGGATACGCTTGTTCGCAATTAATTATTGAAATTGTGAAATACGTTATGTATCAAAAACAACAAATTCCATTATCGTGTGATTCGTTAATAAAATTGCATGCCACTTCAAAGCCAACGGATAGAAACTTTTCGTCGATGCAGAATTTGGTTGACTCTTTAAGTAATATATCTAATCAATTAGCTTTACAATTTACTATCGATGATTGTGAAGTTAAAGAAATAGTTATTGTTATTGGAGCTACTATTGTTTCTCCAAAATTTTACATCGTCATTGAATTACCTCCAACTATTTTAAACAGCAATATCCACTTAGAATATCAACATCCCTTTCGCAAATCATTGACAACTGTTATGAGGTAATTTCACTAGTATTTAATATAGGATTATTTATTTTTAATGTAAATTAAATGCATTTCATATTTCAGGTCAATTATTAAATCTACCGAATTTCAAGATGAAATGATTATACCTTTAGGACTGACAAACACTTTTGTATTTGTTCGGAAGAAAGATCCTTACAAAATATCTGAATTTTTTATACCTAAGCCTCAGTTTTCATTGTCTTCGCAAAACACCAACTCATTCCGTATAAAATTAAACTACAATGAAAATAATCGATTAAACTGTGACTGTGATAACTTTATTAAAGTGTACCATGATTCTCAGAACAAAATTTATTTAAAAAAGGACTATATTGAAGAAAAGTTTAACTCGGAAATTACTTATCAATGGTATCAATCGAAAGAAGTATTAAAAGGATTCAAGTTTCTAATATAATAATAGAAAATGCTTAATAAAATAAAATCTGCAATATTGTAGTATGTATTTATTAAAAGAAAATAATTGGGTAAATAATTTAATAATCAATTATATAGAAAAATTTTCCAATTTAGTGTTTTAAAAATAGTTTATATAATTCTTTTAAAAAGACTCTTATTTATATCTAATTTTCAGCATATAAATAAATTATTAAATTAAACAATGTCATTGGTAATAATAATAAAAAAAAAAATTAATGAGATTGTGTAGAAAAATAATTTTAAAAAATTATAATTTAATGAATAGCTGTTTACAATTTTTATACTTAAATCTTTTTATAATGGGAAGTAATTAATTTGTTTACTTATCAAAACACGAGCATACATTATGTAAATATTATCAAGAACATTATTTATAATTTTATTTATAAAATTTATAAATTCTCTAAAAATAATTAATTATGTATAGTTAGAAAATTTTTTCGTTGAAAATAAGTAACAAAATTCAATAGATTTTGTCCTTAATATAATTTGTATATTTTCTTTGATTAGAAAAAAAAACTTGTATATGACGAACGTAAATAGAAATTTTGTAATTCTTAAAAGGATTTCTATAGGAATCGTATTTTAAATCTGAAATATTGTATTATGAAAAAGGTTTAAAAAATATTGATTATAAATATAATGAACAAATGTACAAATATCATTAAATAAATAAATAGAAAGAAAACTGTTTCCAAATATATGTGAAATATAGAACAATAAAAAAAAATAAAACATTAATAAATATTAATACATTGTAAATATTATTAACATGTAATTTTAAATGCAAATAAATAAGTAAAATTATTGTTAATGACATTAGCATGCCTAATTCTTTAGTTCGAAAATTATGAAAACAATGTATATATTCTTCTAAAGCATAGTTTTATAAAAGAATGAATAATTATTAAATTCAAGAGCATCGATAATTAAAAGCTTAATTTGAACAACAGACACAGCTCCTACAGTTTATTATAGTTTCAAAAAATTTAGTTTTTTACTCGGATTTCATAAATTCTCCAAGTTTTTAATTAATAAATTTATTTAAAATATTTGTTAAGCTAATTATATAAAAGTTAACGATGTACGATCAAATTTGTAATTTATAAATTTAGAAGATCGTTTTTGTTTATCTCTTTTTCTAAAAAAATTGATGCAATTATTAGCTTGAAGTATCAAATGAACGTATTTATCTTTCTCCCCTTAAGAATTAAATATTTTTTTACATTCAATTCAACTTCACGACATGTCTGTCAAAAATAATAAAAATGAAATGCAATACCAATGTGTCAGTTGTGAAGATTTTTCTATTTTGAGTTCTGCGTACAAATAAAAAAAGTATTTATTTGACATAATTTTTTATAATAAAATTCAGAATTCCTCTGCTTGTATTTCTTGTGCTTTACAGTATTTACAGAATTCATTTCATTTTTATAGGCTCTTTCAAAATACAATTATTCTAATTGTTAATTATTAGTTGTTTTTTTTTAATACGTCTTTTAATACAAATTTATTTATTTTTACCCGAAAAAAAGATAGGGAATAGGTAAAAATATGACAGAGCGAGAGAGAGAGAGAGAGAGAGAGAGAGAATAAAGTGAGAATATTTATAAAAGTAATTTTGTATTTATTAACCTAAAAATATCACTTATTAATACATTTTTTAATTAAGTAGATTAGAACTAAAATTTTAACAATAATTTGAATACTCTGAAATTTTTATTTTATTTAAATCTAGAGTTAAAAGGTCGTAATATAACGTTTTTATTTAATGCTTGGATATTAACAATGTAAAAAAAAAAGATAAATAATAAAACTTTTATAAACTATTTTATAGAATTTTATATAAAGAATTTCTTGACATATTAATAATAAAATTACTTATTTAGCGGGATAAAATTTTTGATAAAAATTTTACGAATAAAAGGAGAAACTGTTAATTATTCGTTTAAATATCATACACTTTATAATTAATAATTTAATAATTTATTAATTTGTTAAATCATATCGATATGGTAGAATTTAATTGTAAATAGAAAACAAAATTAGAACATTAGCTACTGCATTGTGATTTTGAAACAATTTGTGACATTTTCTGAACACTGTCATTCATTATTTGAATAATATAATGACATAAAATATACATAATGAACATTATAAATTGTATCGTGTTAAACAAATATTTTTAATTTTTACATTTCATGCACATGTGTATGTCGCAGATAAATTGAAGAAAAATAATATGCAAGGAACTACCGAAAATACTGCATCTTTTATTGAAATTGGCAAATTGAATAATAGTGCCAGTCAGGAGGAAATAAAAAATGAATACGAAGAACAGATATCACTTTATAAAAATCCATTCATTTATTTCACTAATTCGGCTAATGAAAGGGAAGAAGACAATGAAAATTACGAAGTTGAGGATCACGAATTTTCACTGATTAAATACATTCCGACGGCATCTCCACTGATTGTTGCACAACATGAACAGCGAAAGGAACTTTTAGCTAAATTAAATGTATTACATAGCGAATCAAACGTATTGACGATAAAAAATAAATTCCTTCACAGGGAGTATGGTAAACTGATACGTAAATCGCCCTCTTGGAATAACGTATTCGATCTATTTGAGGAATCTTTGATTTTCGAAGATATTCGGTAAACAATTATCTTCTAAGTTCGCAGTCAATCAAAACAAAAACAAACAATAAATTAGTTAACTTTAGAATTAGTTTTAAAATTAGTTAATATTCATATTTTAATTGAAATTTTAATCTACAAAGATCGTGCATTAACATTATTTTTGCTTTAAATAGTACACATTTAAAATTATATATAAATAGATGATCCAACACTTTCAGTATAATTTGCAAAAAAAAAATTACAAAGATTGTCCTTGATAAATGGTAAAATTTATCAAAATTTAATAACAATTTTTGCAATAAATTGCTAAATAATTACTAAACAATTGTTTAAACAATGTTTTTTCTCGCTCTCTTTAATCAATATATGCAAAAAAATTCAATTAAAATGTGTCAATATTTATACATACAGAATTAAATATTACCATGTGAAAATAGAAAAAAATCATTCGAAAATTGATTAAAGTTGATTTGATTCGCTGATTACATTTTTGAAATATTTTGATATATGTGGAATAATTGGCATAATTGTGTATTTCTAATCATACTGTTTATATTACATTGCGCGCCAAAGTAATAATATATTTTAATATAAAGAATTAAAAATTTCTTATACTAAATGCGAAGTAAAAGAAATGTTTCATAACTAATCATCATTTTTCACAATCTCTATAAATTTAGTATATTTGCTTTAAAATAATTTTTAGATACCAACAGGCATTAAATATTTACGGACAAATTAAAAATGAAATCGACCAAAACAAAGCGTCTTTATCAACAAAATTAGAAAATCTGAGAGCGGATTACAGTCTAAGCGAAACAAATTATAATAAAAATCTTGCGATTCTCATGACCAAAGAGGCGACGATAGGTAAGAAAATTGTACCTCGTAAATGGAGCAAACAAGCCTGGCATGTTAAAGTCGATCAAATGATTGAGAATCAGCAACGTCAAATGATCAATGTTGCTAAAATCCGACTTGTTTATATACAACTCCATTATAAATTAGAGCAAGCTTTATTGAAACTGCGAGAGCTCGATAATTTTAGTCCTAGATTTTCAATGATGGATTATGAAATTCTATTGAAGAAAAAGGAGATTAATAATGACAAGCGCAATGAGCAGTACGAGAGTATCATAAAGACTAGCATTAACAATCTGTTCTGCACAGCGGTACGAACTATTTTTGATTTTTCTATTTTTCCATTTTTCTATTTTTCTATTTTTTGTTTTCTTCAAACGGTCCGTGAACGTACTAATTTTTTCTTTTTGTTTTTTCAAACTTTAATTTCTCGTGCTCCTTCTCAATACAATTTGTACGTACGTACGTCTGGTAAAAATGCCGCTACACGATATTTTGTCAATTTTATTAAACGTATATGTGTGTTTTGTGCGCGCGTGCTCGCGCGTGTGCGTGTCAAATGCAATTGCATACTCGATATTAACAAAATATTTAACTCCATAACTATTAAAAATTGTTTTTATTTTAATATCTAGACTATTAAACACGTTGATGAAGAATTGAATTTATTTAATGAAAAGGTTAAAAATGAATATGACAATTTAAAAGCTATATCACAAGACAATGAGATTAAGCATTATAAAATTATTGAAATGGTAAAGAAAAGGAGAACGACATTAAAACATATTACGCAGCTGAGAGAAAATGCTGGTCTTATAGAGAATACCTTTTTATTGAAAAAAATGCAACTTGATTTATTAGAAATTACCAAGTTACAAAATGAAGCGAACGACATACAATCGAAAATTCTTCGTGATCAGGAAGCAGTAATGTCTCGAATTTATTAAAGCGATTAAATGAAAAAAAAAAAAAGAAGAAAATATTAAACAATTATATTAAGATCTTATGCATCCTAATATGTCTTCTAGAGCACATTATCTTTCTGTACTTTGTTGTTATGATTTTCTACTGGAGTCTCATAATTGATTGCATTTGGATATATTTTTGACAAAATTAAATTCCTTTCGAGATTATCTTCCGGCATTTCATAAATTTTTACTTTCAATAAAACAAAATCAACGCACATTATTATACGTAACAATATAATCAGGAAACTTGCTATCCAACTCAAAGACATTAGCCATGCAGTAAACTAGAATCGTTTAGTTTTGTTTAGATACATTAGTATATATTTGTAAATAAAATTCACGGATAAATCTTACTTGAATCATTAAATATAATTGGCATGGATCGACATTTGAATTGTTATATTTCCTTGCAAACTGTTTAAATACGTTGCAATATCTATAAATACGTAATTATATCAATAACTTGTTATTAATTATCAACAACGATGGTTTTAGAAAATAACTAACTGCTTGTAATCATATATATATGGAATGTTAGTTTTCGTAAGTCGATGGATTATCTGATAAAGATTGTTATTAAATTTGAAATATCCTGAAGTAAACTTTTTTGTCGCTGTCCATACTATCGCCATCATAATGAAGTTGAAAATCAGTGCAGGAAAAATAATTCTACAATAAATTATGTATTTAAATATTTTTAAGTTATTTATATTATTTTCTATAATATTTAATGTTAAATTGTCTCTTTATAAAGAGAAGCTTAAACTTTGTAAGCCTTTAAAAATATTGGAACAATAAATTGCTGTAAAGTGATATAATTAGTTGAAATCGTCGTCAGCTTTGAATTTTTGGTAAATTTAAAGATTGAAAATTCGTTGAGAAAATTGTTGTTATTGTCATGTAAGATATATCATGTGTAACGGATAAATATATTTTAATGTCTCTTATTGGCCAAGTTTCGTAAAATTTTCTTTAAAAATAATTTTATAAATTTATATAACGAATACTGCAGATTTATAATAAGAAGAAAAAATAAATAAAGAAATATTTATACTTCAATTTTTTTTATTAATCAATGTTTTATTCTAAAATAATTGAAAGTAATTATAGATATTTAGAATTATGTATAAAAATAAAGGATGCTATTTGTATTTTGAATGCTATAAGCTTAAGGACAGAAAGAATACCATAAAACTGTAATCTATTATGATTATGATTATGATTATTATTATTATTATTATTATTATTATTATTATTATTATTATTATTAATTTTTTGTTTTTCTTTCTTAAGGAAATTATGTTTTAACTCTTCAAAACATCCGGTGATTATGAACAAAAATTTCAACTTTGTGCTCAAAAGGATTTGCAAAACAAATGATAAAAATTTACCAATGTATTATATTATAAAAACTTTATCTAAAAAAAGTTTATTTTAAATTATTATTATTCAGAAATCAATATTTAGAAAACATAATATACTAAAAAAAATTAGCTCCGCTTGTAGTAATTAAATATTCTTTTACTTCAAGAATGTTGTCAATTTACATATAACAATTGAATTGCGACAACTGCACTGTCAATTTAATTAATTATTAAATGTATTTATCGACAATTTTAATGCCATTGAAGAATAAAATAATTTGAATTTGAGGAAAAAAATAAAAGATATGAGCCTGTGACATAATTCAAAATGAAAACTTCTAATTTTAGAATAATAAATTTAGTTTTATTACAAAACTTTAAAGATTAAAAATTGTAAATTATAAATTAATATATCACATAGTGGGAAATAATCAAACCAATTTTTTCCTCATAATCAAAACTAATCTAATGGATTTTTCGACTGTTGGTCCTTAAAAATAAATATAGATAAATAATAGAATTTTTTTTATAGAATTACAAACAATTTCTGAAATTTTAAATATATTTCATTAAAATAATGAAAACAAAATATACTTGCAGACTTCTATTTTTGTCATCCTTTGTAGAAATTGCGAACATGGTGATCATAATCAATGCACTAATGTATGATATTAAGCACACGAAATGAAAGTATTTGCAATATTGGAAATTTTGACTTTGCACAGTTATGTAATGAGCCAAATGAACATTTTCATTGAACGCTGGACGTAGGGCAAGTGACACGTTATGTAGATTTTTTAATAATTTTGGTTCTATTTTGACATCCGCCCAAATGAAGCATTGACCACCGCATACATTGTACTAAAAATTAATTAGAAGTATTGTAATCATCAAAAGCAATGTAAAAGTAAAAATTTTCAGCCAAGCTTCCTACCCAGTATATATGAAATAGTATGGCACAAAAGTAGCCTGATATTGTACTTATGGTGTATGCTATGATAGACACACCTTTCCATAAGTATGAAATTTTAAATGGATCACACTCAATTAATTCTTCGTATTGCTCTATTAATTTCATGTTCATTCTTTTGAAATTATCAGCGAATAATTCTAAAAATGCTCAAACTCCTACAATATGCTTATTGAGCAAACCGAGGATCGAAGCTTTTCGAAAGGAAGCGAAAATTATAATTTCCCATGTGAATATTGCTTAAGATTCTCTATGAGATTCTAAGGATAGTCTAAGTAGTCTTAAACGGAGTACACAAAGACCTTTAGTCAACTTTCAAATTTTAAAGCTTTTATCTCTTGTATCTTGAATTATCTTGAATCTCTTTAGCTTGAATGCTGAAAATGATTTGGACTGACTTCGGACTATAAAAGAGTAGCGCTCCTTGTGTCGCTTTGAGCAAGCTTATTTTTCTTTCTCGCATTTATATCTTTTCGTTTCATTCTTTACTACTTAACGAGCTTACCTACTTTACGTACGTACTCCCCTACAATCAAAGTATATCAATAAATGTAGCTTGACGACTTATGTATGAAAAAATATACTAATCATTCCAATTTTACAATATATACATTTTTTTTATTTTACAAAATATTACAAAATATGCCTGTAATTTTTAAATAATAAAAATCATGTTAAAATGAATACTTAAAACAAATTCTCTCCTCCTCCCCCCTCTCTCTCTCTCTCTCTCTCTCTCTCTCTCTCTCTCTCTTTATTACGTATTCTGTCGTTCTTTAGATAAGAAAAGAAAAGCATGTAATAATACATGTAGATTTTAAATACTTTAACAGCAACGCATATAATTTCTAAACATTCGAGGTAAAATTTCTTAAAGGAATTAGTTTTACAGTATCGGTATATATGTCGGTATATTTATATTGTAATGCAATAACTCATAATTCATTATGTCCTGCGGCTCAACTATAGAAATCGAATTTATTAATTATGATGTGGACTGAGCATAAAATAATCATACAGCAAACCGTATTCTTATAATTATAATTACAATTATAGCTTCTTCGTTCTCCGATTCTGTCTCATTTTATTTTTCAATGTTCGTAAAAACTATCCTCGTTTATCCATAAAAGAGAATGAAGATTTCCAATGTCCTCTCCAGAATTATCGAATATTATTAACAAAAATATTCTTTGCGGTGCTTTACTTTATCCGATGTCTTTTGAAAACAATTTACATTAAAGAAATTAAAAAAGAACTTGACAAAAGAAATTAATTAATATTTGAATGTCGAGAAAGGTTGGCTTGAAACAAAACAAACAAACAAACAAACAAACAAACAAACAAACAAAACAAAACAAAGCTTTATTATTAACGCTTTTCTTTTGCAGAGGCTCGTCTAAATTTTGTCGAGACAGGGACGGTGAGTGAAAGACGGTATCGAGCGAACTCGATGGACCTCAACTAGATTTTTGTTAAATTTATAGTAAAATCGCTGCTCATCCTCGGAGACTCAAGAAGATAGGACGCAATCCTTATCGTAATGATGAATGGTTTGGGAGTCGGTAGCATCGATCGATCGGATCACCCGTTGCTCCAATACATCGACAGAGATATCAAATATACATTTTTTATTAAAGTATGGCATTATTAAAGCAATGGAGATAAAAAAAAAAAAAAAGGCAATAATGATGGAATAACGAGTAGTAAGGTGTGAGGTGGCAGCATTTGCGTTGCGTTGAAATGAGATATTGTTCGGGCTTAGCAAGAAAAGCTTGTAAAATATCGTAAACTTATAGGTTTAGTGACGTACAGTTTGTTATACTGTTTTGATAATTGAATTGCTTGTGATTTCCGATCGTGTATCTCGATGTGATCGAACTTTTTAAAATTTGCTGAAGAATACGCGATTGTGTAAGCCCGCTTGTTCGTCGCACTTGTCAGAAGCGCCATCTTACGTAATATTTTGAAAATACAGAATATCTGTGATTATTGTATATATTGTGACTGCATTGTGACTTCACCTGGTATTGTGATTGCTGTGAGCCTCGGTGGCTTTAACAGGTGTTATTATTGAGCTGCGATGTGTTGATTGAAAGAGGAGGATTATTGGAGCCTAATCGATAAAGTCTAATGGCCTAGATGGAGGCTAAAATTTCCGAATATCGAAGGAGAAAACGAAGAGAGGCGATGATGGAAGCTGTGAAAAATTCGCTTAAAGAAGTATTGTCGTGGCAGAGTAATGCAACTACCGCTAACGTGGTAAGGTTATTTTTTCATTGTTTTCAAAGCTTATTTTTTGTGTGTGTGTGTGTGTGTGTGTGCGTGTGCGTGTGCGTGTGCGTGTGTGTGTTTATTTTTTTTATTTTTATGGGACTATGTGAGAGCGTTTGCATGTATATTAATATTATAATTATAACAACAACAACAAAAATAAGAATTAGGTGTAAATTAGGTGTAATTTTTATGAAATAAGAAGGGTATGGAGAGGTTGCAGGACGAGGACGACCTGGAAAGCATTTTGTCGGAGGATAGCATAGACGAAACAGCTTGCCCGAGTACATTTTACGCTCGAACGATCGGCCTTCTATATTTCTTATTATGGTTGACGTTGTACATCATTGCTATCCAAATTGAATTTGGCAGTGTATATTTTGTAATCTCGACGTTGGCCTTCATCTGCTTGAATACGCGATCTGGCCGAAAGAATACAGAAGAAGTTAGCGCATACTCGGTTTTCAATCCAAACTGTCATTCCATTGCCGGCACCTTGACAGCTGAGCAATTTGAACAAGAAATCAGATATGGACCATTAAGCGTAAAGTAACGAGTGTAGGAGGAAATATAAAATGACAAAAGTGAGATAATGTTATATACAAATATAGCATATATTTATAAATATAAATATACATATAGTACACTACAGATTGAAAAGAACATTTAAATTACAGATCGTTAAGATTAATCGTTAATAATGAATATAAACAATGCTGTTCGTACGTTTTTAATATCTGTTTTATAAAATACTTAATTGTCGGTAAATATCATTTTACAATAAGCTTGATCGAGAAGAATTTTGTTTGCTGCTTTATAACAATTGCAGATTTCATTTAAATTCATTTTCACCACGTGGGCAGGCTCGTGTAGCAATATCTTAAGCTTTGTGAAATCGGTTTTAGATCTTAAAGATAAATCGGAGCAGAGTAGGGCTCGATCTAAATCGATTAATTTATCATTCGCCATTCGTACGTCTAAGGACCTGGCACAAGCAAACATTTGTCAAGTATTATTTATATAAAATAAGGGATCGAGATAATGATTATGACTCACTTCATAATATTAATTTTTTCTAAATCTGAATTGAAATTTGTTATGCTGTCGGTGAGCATTGTAACCGTCTCGTTGAGATTCTCTAAATAATGAATTAATATTTTATTATATAACTAATGCCGAACACATGAGAGCGTAAGGTTATACCTTTTGACTCGGCAAGCTCCTTCAAATCGATTATAGTCAGTGCTTTATTCATTATTTCAGTAAAATACTTTGGATCCCATTGAAAAAATATTTCTTCGGATAATCTCCACATAGCCAGTCCGACAATTTGTGCTAAAATCTTTTGATTTTGTTCGATATTTTGAGAAGTAGAATTTGGGTTCTGTAAAAACAAAAACAAAAACAAAAGGAAAGAAAGAAAAAGCGAAAGTTGCACTTTAAAACGTAGACGCATTTTGTCGATAAGAAAAACAAAAAAAAAAAAACAAAAAAAAAACAACAACAACAAAATTAATCACTAGATACTTACTAAAAAGGATAAAACGGCGTGAGGGATATCGAGATTAAGTCTTGGCAGTGAATTTGGCGAATGAACTCCTTTGAATAAATTTTTATGATAATATTTTATTTCATTCATCGCGTCCAAAATAGTGGCTTGGACCATACCAGAGCCGGATACAACAATTTCGTCACTCCCTATCAAATTCAATATTTTACGTTATCACTTGTGCGAATTCGCGAGCTTCTTGGCGCACAATAAACAACTCCTCAATCATTTTAAAATCATTATTATAGAATAGATAATCGATTATATTATTATTTGTGAAATCTATTAGCTCCGGCACAAAACATGTTGTTAGGTAAATCATTTTGTAAAAATCAAAATCAAAGAAACCTCTAGCTGCATTCCCGTGTACTGCAATGTAAGCGACAATCTTGGGTTTGATGTGATTGAGAAATTTTTCATTACAAAAGTCCGTCGAGCCAAGGAAAACACAAAAAATCAGACTCCTCTTCGGCTCCCATCCTTTATTTCTGTAAATATTATCTAAAGTCTTGGCCACCGTAATAGCGACATCAAAGCCTTCGCCGCTTGCGGATAAAACAACGTATCTATCTAAATATTTAAAAGTTATCTATTCGAGCCTTGGATGTTTATAAGGTAAAGAATAAAATTAGATTTTCAGCGAGATTAGTCAAACGTAAATATTGAATTATTATCGATTAAGTGCACTGTGTTGTGTTAGTTACTCCCGGCATTATATAATTTTATCAATTATCTGTATAATGTAATGTTTATGCAACACTGAAACGATTGTCATTTTAAACAATATGTAAATAATTTATGCTATTTATAAAGAGTAATATGTACGTGTGATATGTATATATATGTATGTATGTATGTATGTATGTATGTATGTATGTATGTATGTATGTATGATACTGTACGTGTAACCGTTTATAGCGTGTAAACTGTAAATCACAGTTCATTGGTATTAAAGCAATGTTTGTAAAAAAATGTTTATAAGTTTATTAAGTTCACCCTGTTCTTGAATCCCACAAATTGTTGCTACGGTACTGGTTTTCGTTTCATTTACATTTAATCGAAAAATACTTAAATCCGCAAAGATGTCCTTTACTCCATTAACACCTTGTTGCCTTAAATTTTGCACACTGGAATCCCTACAAAGTAAAAGAGATTTTCATTTATATTCCCAATTAAAATCAGCCCTAAAGCAAAATCTATCATAATATATTATCGATTTTCCTAATTAGAAATTTGAATGATTTATCTTGAGTATTATCGGCATTATCCGATAGTTCGTATATGTATTAATGCTAAGATGCTTATAAAATATTAAGTGTTTAGCTACTAATTTTAGAATTATTCAAACTCAAGTAGAATTAACGTAATAAAACCTTATTGGAAATTATTTAATAATCAAAAGGCCTTTATTATCGCAGTATAATATGTTCGTGTAATAGCAATGTATTGCTTGGATTTTTGTGACCTGTATTCCGGTAGCTAATGTTGGCTAATGTTCAAAACGATATTGATACTTAAGAGTTTTCTGAAGAAAAAGAAGAAAAACAAGATGAAAAAAAAAGAATGAAAAGCTCGTTAAATCAAAGACAAATACAAGATAAAGTACTTCATCAAGATCTTAAATATTAAATAATTTCCCCGGTATCGTCCTATGTAATTAAATCAACTACAATTTAGTATTTTGTGAAACTGCGGATAGTATTTATAGCATAAATTTTCTTCTTAAATTTATTTTTCGTTCTCGATTTCCCAGTCTGATATTATGAGTGAGCTTTCTCTCTTTTCATTTTGGGAACACAAATAATTTCAGACTTCAAATGGTTTCAACTGGTTACTGACGCCATAATAATTAAACTTAAGCTGCTAGTAAAAATAGTACAAAAACACATTTTTTGTGAATAATATTAAAACATCAAGGCCATAAACAATAACAACGACAAAAATTTAAATAAAATTTTTCACTCAATATAAATGAATGTAAATTACATGTTAAAAGTTATTTAAATCATTAAACATTATTCATTTATCTTTTAAATTACTTGTTCGAAATCATTTTTTTTTTTTTTTTTTTTTTTTTTTTTTTTTTTTTTTTTAATAATTTCCATTGTGTACGTTACACGTTATAATATTATTATATTGAAAATAATTAAAAATCTCTGGATTTAATTACGAATGATTTGATTTTTTATGAAAATATATTTTCAATAAGGAGTTGCTTATTTATAATATTTAAATAATTCACAATTTAAGACCCTTTATAGATACTTACGTACATTCGTACACGCGCGCACACACATAATGTAGTCTAATAAAATATTGAGAATTTAAATGTCATTGTTTTTAATATAACGAATAATGTAATTTAATTATTTTTTTAAGCCAATTTAATTACTGCAAATATTCCATCGATCGTTGTTAATGCCGTGACAAATATTTTCATAAACATCGATCCAAATGATAAATCAAGCTTATAAGCAACGACAATGAAAATTATCGGTATATTATTGTTTTAAGATTCGGTAAGCGACATACGCGCAATTAATTCGGCTCGTTAAATAAAAGCAACGATCGCTCGTCTTAACGCGTCACCCCACTTCAACCAATACTTTCATCCCCACGATCTCTCGAGCGAATTATTATTATTATTATTATTGTTATTATTAATGTTATTATTATTATTATTATTATTATTATTATTATTATTATTATTATTATTATTATTATTATTATTATTATAATCGAGTGCTATTTTATCGCTATTTTATCGCTCGATCGGCTTTTGAGAGCTTGGGATAACTCTGCGAGTACCCGAAACTAAACAGACTCGCAGAAAATGAAATTTAAATTTAAAGGCCGTCAATTTTGCAATAGCGAGACACGCTATTATTTAGCAAGTACTTAAGGTCGAATTACACTTGTCGACGTTCTCGCTTACGGCTTAGCTGCTTGGGCTTCTTAACATTTTACTTGGCGATCGTCGCCAGTGCTAAAAGCCCTAAAAGCCCTAAAAGCGCCCACGAGCGGGAAAAATTCAGGAAAACACACAGTCGGCCAATCCTCCCAAGCGCACCTACATAACGTACATCTCAAAATCCTCGTGGAAGCTGCTCGCGTTGAGTATATCGAGGAGGGCGATTTGGAGATCCTTGGTGGCTTGGAGCCCGTTGCCCTGGAGCTCCTGAAGCATGCGCCTCTCGTGCATGACGATCGTCCTGTCCGAAGCGAATCGCCCGAGGAGAAAGCCGCCGAGGAGGCAGAGGAAGCCCACGGAGAAGAGGAAGGAGAAGCACATGCGCTTGGTGACGAACTCGCTGGACTCGCCGAAGCCTCGGCCCATTTGGAAGCTCAGCATCCGCTGCATATCCGCTGCGCGCGCTCAGCCACAGCCACACGGATTTATTTTCTTCGCTCGCTCGTGACTCCCGCGGGGATATTAATATGACCCGTTGTGTACGCGCGAACCTTTTATCGTACGTTTTTGCCGTACGCTGGGAGCACGCGCCGCGCGTCTGGGAATCCGGCGCCCCTGCATATGCTCAACATTCCATAGACTTCCAATTGGGATGGGCCGCCCATTGCTCGTCGCCCACTCTCAATGTTTGCCCATCGTAACACGGCTTCAGCTTAACGGTCAAAGATTCGTGCCACGGAGATGGAACGCTTACGGCCGTTGCATACCCTGAACACTAATAGCGCGACTCTATACCATAAGCAAACACAATAAGCGGCAATTCAGGCCTCGTCTACGCACTCTTCTGCCATTTAAAATCAAGAGCCTCCCACCCCCTTCCCACCGCTACCGCCACCGCCACCGCCACCGCCACCGCCATCGCCATCACCACCACCACTACGCAACCCGTCGAGCGAGTCAAAGATGAAAACGAAGCTAAAATGTTACATGTATGGTAGAATTATGTCGGATTTCAATAGAAATTTTATTCCGCGATAAAACCGCCCTATACAATTTTTCTCTGATAAGGTCTTTTCTCTCTCTCTCTCTCTCTCTCTCTCTCTCTACTTTTTTCTTCTATTTCAAATTAATAATACGTTGCGATGGTTCATCGTTTGTGCAAATATTTGTTATAAAAGCTCGTTTGATATTTGGCCCAATGGGTTAAAGCTTCTCTTCGATCGTCTGAATCTTTCGATGAGAATAATATTAATGTTGACTTGTGAATTTTCTGACTTTTCTCAATACGAGCAACATACTTTTTAATTACAAGAAATATCGACTCTAACTTTAGAACGAAATTTATCATCGAGCATTTTTAAATAATGATTTATATTATATAATTATCTAAATTCAACACGCTATTATAATTTTCAAGTGCTTATCCATCGAATGGTTTTAAATAGTCGTACCGATGCTTTTGATTAATTTGATTTTACAAATTTATAGAAAGTTTTTTGGCAATGCGCGCACAACGATTTTAGTGTAATTATATTATTAGTCTGGCTCCTATTTAATTAAAATAATTTATAGACAAATTTAGCGTGAAATTCCACTTTCGTCTTTCAAATGATTAATTTTAACAAATAGTCAACGATTATTTTTTTCTTATGATAAGCGATATACTCTATATAATATTATATATGTGGTTGTATTGTGGGGGAAGGGGGGCAATATATATATATATGAATGAGGGAATAATAAAAGAAAATTACAACGTTGTGAACTAACTCGCAACAAGACGTAAATAATAATTTGACAAGAGCACACGAATAAACAATTTATAATCACAGCAGCCTATCCCGTCGTTTCGTTATTAATGAAAAAATTATCTAACGTGCCAATCGATCTCGATTACCACGAATTGAGTTCTTTGAGCAAACATGGCATATTGTCATTGTGTTGTTGGATTCTGTCACTCGCGTCTGGAAGAAACGTGGATCGCGTTAACACACGCTTAACGTTGCAATCGCGCTTCTTATAATACACGAGACGGCGTCCTTTGTTAAGATCTATTTATATATTTGTCGGAATAAAAATAAATGCACCGATTCGACGAGATAACCACCCTCGTTCGTACATTAAGTTCTGTCCCTTTTAACACAACTAATATGACATTGACGCGCTTTATCTACAAATTTTGAATACGCCAGCCTTAATAATCGTCCGGCATCGATGATCATTTGCTTTTCGATCCGCGCACTCGTTACACTCTAACCCAGTAAAAATGGAAAATAATAATAATGCGACCAGCGAGGCAGCTCGTCGTGTCACTGTCGTTTTAAATAAATCAAAAACATCGAAGATCAACAGTTTGATAACGAAGCTTTCTCAATCGTTGATTTTACACTTTGTAGCTCAAAAATATCTTATTCATTCGTTGAATTGAACATTCGATAATTCGAGAATTATACATCTCGCAAATAAGATATTCTCGATGACAATATGAACATAGTCAATGATTTTCATCATCAATTACATTATTTTTCCAAACAGTTATTTTTAACTAAAAAGTACAAAGCACTATAAGCGAGACTAAGAAACGGAATAACAACGCGAAATTCAGATTAATCTAGCTTAAGCGAAGCGTCACTTTTCTATTTCACACCGAGACATTATTCTGAAATATTATAAAGTATTTTGCGTTTGTAAATCAACGATTGTGAAGTCACAGCCGCAGATATATTACTTTATATATGTCACTGAAACATTAGGCGCGGATATCACAAACAAAATAAGCTAAAAATTCTCTTCGTTAATATATCTCTTTTGGAGAAGGAGATGAAAAAAATTAAATATATAAATAAATAAATAAATAAATCAAATTCAGACGTCAGATTGGGTGGAAAAGTCAGTGAAATGCGCACGTTGTGTCTCGCAAAAAAGTTGTGTAAACGCGGGGCTGCGTGGGATAAGACTGATATTTTTATAAAACAGTTCTTGGTGGCGGATATCCAAACTCCAAAGTTTGCCGTATATACACATTTTCTCTCACTCACTCACTCACACACTCACACACACACACACACACACACACACACTCTCTATCTATCTCTCTCTCTCTCTCTCTCAGTCCCTCTCAGTCCCTCTCAGTCTCTCTCAGACTTCCTCGACATTTGAACGCTTATTTTACACAATCGCTTGCGCATCCGCCGACAGCTCCAGACTTCGTCTCCTCCGACCGTTACGATTTCTTCAAACTTTTCGCGTTTACTGCTCTCGTGAAAGCTTCGACTCGACATTCGCCGCCAAGTCGTTTCAATGATCAACGCCTTTTCTTTGCCCCCAATTACCTCCAATTCCTCCCCACGCTCTAGCCGCATATTCGACATATCTCGTTTATCTGCTGATTCGCATTGATCATCAAATCATAAATGTGTTTGTAAGCTATCGCCAGTGAAAGTCATTAGGGGCATTCGTCTCACACATCGCCAACAATATATTTCCATCACTTTTATTTTTAAGACGGTTCGAATTTTCTTCTTTAATTCTTTTAATTGTCATTTACTCTTAGATCTTTTATAGATTAAAAACAAAAAAAAAAAAACAAAAAAAAAAGACTGTCGCTCCAATCGATAATATATATTTTTTTTATTTATTTATTTTATTTTTTTTTTTCGTTAATACCACGAAGAGAAAGAATGAGAGAAACAAATCAAAATTCACGGGAAATGAGCGATAATAAGAAAATCTCGAATGACGCTAGCAACAAAAATTCTGACGGCGGAAATATTAATTATAAGAACTTTTCGCTTTTGGCAGCATAACAAAACGGAGTAACATAACAAAAAAAAAAAAGCTGATATCGACGCTTGTCTACGCCATAAATCCAGACATCGAAAAGTCATCTCTACGAGCCTACACTTTATGAAATTCTAAAATTAATCGACAAATTACCACATATCAAAGCAATAAAATCCATTAATCAGGCGTGTTTATAAATTATAAATATTTATATTTATAATTGTAAATAAATTGGCAGTTGTATAAATTGAATTTATTATATTGGATAAACATTGGAACGTAGCATTATAGAATGCCAATAATGTAATATTCGAGTACTTTAAATCTATCATGAAATATCATTTTAAAAAGCTCTCTCATAAAACTTCAATATTCTATTTTAATATTCAATGATGAGATGCAACTCACTCACACATTATCTTAAGTATCATAAAATTTAACAGATTAGATTTGACTATTTTAATACCTAATGAATTGTTAATGAAAAGAGAGTTATTAAAAGAGAGAGAGAGAGAGAGAGAGAGAGAGAGAGAGAGAGAGAGAAATTCATAAACACTCATAGTTAATAACATAATATTCAATAACATTTTTTGCAAATTGTCACTCAATAAAAATCCCCACATAATTGCTTTAATAACCGATCATAATTCTCGCTCTTACTTCGTATATGCGAACTATTAAAATGTCTATTTATAGTTTGTGTAATCATTCATATTTTGTGCTCTACAGTTATCGAGTATTTAATTTTTTTTTTTTTTTTTAATTTTTTAAATTTTTTAAATAATTTACATAATAATGCGATATATTAGAATTCATAGATTTTATAATAATACACGTTTTAATGATGTTATAATAATTATGACTAGACATAATTAATAACATAATTAACATAATTATTCATTATAAGTCGTTAAATAAATTGAAACTTATTTCTCAATAATTAACGTTTATCGCGATCAATTTAATTTTCGATTTTATCTTCATTCTATCGAATATTAATTTCGAGTCGATGTTTTTTTACCTCCTTTCGTCTTGTCGAACAAACAATAGAGAGAGAGAGAGAGAGAGAGAGTTGCGCTTTCATTAAAGTATTTTGGTATTATTTCTTCTCCCCTAATTTTTATTTATTATCTTATAATTATATAATTAATACATTAATAATGAATTACCAAGTGACAATGTATTAATTAATTAATGAATGTGCTCGTTGCGAATTTCCCAGGGCGTGATTATGATAAGATGCCCGTTATATTTGAATTTACAATCGGCACGGTAACTCGATTTTTCTAATTTCTCATTCACCTCTCCATTCTTCTCTATTAGCTTCTCTCTTTACAATACTTCTACCAGGATACAGTGTTTTATCATCCAATTCGAACATGTTTGTCCCTTATTAAAGAACATTGAGCTAGACGTAACGATATGTTTTTCGGTATCGAATTAAC